ATTTTTCAATACGCAAATGAGAACCGCTCTATTCACATGGTAATATTCCTGTCACACTTTTTCAGGGGGACTGGTAGTCATGGCCAAGCTCCTTTCCGTGCTGCTTATTCTAGAGTCGGCAACATAAAAGCCATTCTGAAAGTTCTAATGCTTTGCCTTACTGTGACAGCCAGCACAATGTTAAGGAAAAAAATCATTAAGATGTTAAACATGACATCTGTCAAAACCATCAGGATGTCACCTGACAAAAGAAATGTCAAATACATTGTCGAAAAGGCTAAGAATGAACTGCAGGATACCTTTGGTTGGCTTATCAGTGATATGGTCAACAATGCGCATGCTGAAAAAACAGTAGTTTTCTGTCTGTCATTAAAAGCATGTGACATTTATGACACCTTTCAACACTTTCTTCCATGCAAAAGTAAAGTGGCCATGTATCACTCAAAGACCCCTCAAGACATTAAGGATAATGTTCTGTCTGATTTAATGTCTCCCAATGGAAATATTCACCTGGTAATAGCTACTAGTGCCCTGGGAATGGGAGTTAACATACCCAATATTAAAAGGGTTGTTATTTTTGGAGTGCCAGAGAACATGGAATCCTACCTTCAAGCAGTTGGAAGGGGTGGAAGGGATGGGTCTGATGTTTTGTCTATAATATTTTATCATGCATACCATTTGTGTCACTGTGATCCCACGATGAGGGCATTTGTTAAAAACAAAGTTAATTGTAGACATGGAGAAATACTACAGTTTGTTAATGAGAAGATAGAAAAACCTTCCATACTGCACAAGTGCTGTGATGTGTGCAGTAAGCAGTGTAATTGTGGAGCTTGCCCAGAAGAAATGTTTAAGATTTGTTCTGAACTTGACAATTGTCCATGTACTTTAGAGAGGCAAGTGAACACGGATGAAAGAGGGACATTCACAGAGGTGTTAAAGGATTTAGCTGTGACCTGTCAAGCCAATATTTCAGTTTTTGGGAGTGTTTGTTTTCAGGATGTTTTAACTGATGCCATTGTTTCAGATTTAGCTGCAGACCTAGAGCATTTATTTTCTGTTGATTACATTTTGCAAAACTTCCCAATTTTTATTGAAAAGTTTGCTGCTGAAATTTTGGTGGTGGTAAATGACATATTCAATGATGTTGAAGAGACAACACACCTGAAAGAACTATGTGAAATGGACTGGAGTGATTGTGAAGAGTTTCTGCTATCAATTCCAGAGCAATATCCACCTGACAGTGAGGAGTCAGACTGTGATCTTTAAGTCAGGTAAAAGGGGCAAATGCTAATATTTTAGTATAATTATTAATACTTTTTGTATTAACATTTTTTTTATCGACAGGGCCACCCAATGTCAATAGTCTGTTTTCAATATATTAAAATTCAGCTTGGTAGTGAGGCTTAGAGGACACAAAGAAAGGGAATTGAATGACATGTTTATTCATTTCTTTTGTTTGTGTCCTCTAGGCCTCACTGTCAAAAGTGACCTATTGATGTTAAAATAATATTACATTATAGAACATGTGTCCAAAATTCTGTAAGGTGTTGTGATTAACCTTCTTGACAAATGAGGTTGCCATAGCAGTGGTATAATCAAACCACTCTTGATAGTTATTAAAGTATGCGTGGATGATCAAGATAAAAATAAATCTACTCTTTCCACTTTGCAGAAAGGTTTATCTTGCTAACCTGATCATTAAATTTCAAATTTGAGGATTTTTTGGCAGCTTATAGTCAAGAGGATGACCAGAGCACATAACACATTTGTCTCTTAGTGGTTGCAAGTCACTTATAATCTGGGTGTTTAGGAAAAACTGCCAATGGTTTCAACCGCCGAGGTATCTTTCCAGGTTAATCATTACTGTCATTCTAATTCTGGTATCTACCTGATCAAAAAGGAATTTTGTTAAAAATTCCCCAACAACTATTGTCTCCCTGTGACTAAAGGCTCTTTTATCTTAGTTAAAAGTTCTTTAGAGCATCCCTTTCCATTTTATGTGGGAGTTTTTTCCCCTTCCCCTCCCCCACCCCTTGGGTTTATAGTGTAATTATTGTCAAAGCAAAGCACTGTACACTTAATTAAGCCATCTTAAAGAGCATGTTAGGGTTAACAGTGAAAAGATGACATTCCCTTGGGTTACAGAAACTTATACATGTGTCGATTTTGATGATGCCATTGTTGCTTTTTTTTGCCTTAACCACTTTGCCATTGGTCCAAGACAAAGGTCTTTGAAAATGTCTCTTCGAAGACCAGGGAATGTTTTGTACTCTCTACTGGGACAAAACATAAAAACCTTAGCTTTGCAATGCACTTGAGTAAGGATAGTTGTAAATGTTGACTTCTGTTTACTGTTGCAGTGATGACCACTTTTAGCTTCCCGTTGAAGGTCTGCATTTGACTGCCTCACTAACTTGTCAATGGTACCAGTGGAACGAGTAGCTGTCACAACACTGTCATCGTTAATGTTTGGGGATCCTCTTGATCTTATCTCTTCTTTTGAAACTTTATTTAGTTGTTCCAGCCTTTCATCTCGGGAGATTCGTGTACCCGGTCCATGTTTAAGTCCAGCAAATCTGTTCCATATCAACTAATGTGCTTTGCGGGGAGTTAAAAGACCTTCTGTTGATGCTATTAATCTGATATCAGCAAGAACATATTTGTGACATCCCCTCAGACGAAACAATAATGTCAAAAATTTCCAAACTCTTACTAAGCGTTGGCCATCTCCTTCTTTAACAGAATCCTCAGCATCTCTAATTAGCAGTCCCAAGCTCATGTGGAGACATCCATAGTTGAAAATGCAATCCTCTTTCTTTATGTCTGACTTCTCTGAACCTGTGCACTCTGTAGGGGTTGTCACCTCATCAGAGTCAGCTGGAGTGGGCTCTGGATGAAGCCTGGGGACATCTAATTCAGGTGGAGTAGTCTGTGTGGCAATTAGGATTTCATCTGATTCATGTGAAGTACATGTAGTTTGGGTACTGGTAGGGGGTTGTACAGCATCATTAAGTACCAGACCATGTTTGGACTTCTCATGATTGATTCTGCATTTAGCATATTTCAACACTCTTGTATAACTGGAAAATCTGCAAGGCAAAACCTCTTGTTCCCGTTGATCACTGGCAACTTGCTGTGCATCTCCCAGCTCTGTGAAACTGTCTGACACATATTGATCAAACAACTTTGCAGCATGTTCACAGTTGTCTTCTGAAGCGCTCCGCCTTCAAAGCAAATGTAATCCTTCTAGGGAGCCCGAGAGCTGAGAAAATGGCAGATGAACAACAAGCAACCAAGGAAAGCTCCACTCGCAAAAGAAGAAAACGAAGTAAAGGCTCGCAAACTGATAATGAGGACTGCGAGATAGAATATTGCCACGGCTGTACAAACATGGCGGAATCACTCGCCGAGATTAAAAGCAAACTTGACAAGGCATTAACCTGCATCGGAGAAATGGAAGTACTCAAACAAAAACAAGAAAACCTGGAGAAAAAGAACAAGGAGCTGGCTACTCAAGAACTTGCCATCAACGAGCTAAACAAAAGTGTGATCTCCTTAACAAAACAAGCTAACGAAGAAAAGCAACGAGCCATCAAGCTTGAAAGTCACAGTCGGCGAAATAATCTCAATTTCTTCAATCTACCTGAGCAAAAGAATGAATCGGCAGAAAAATCTGAAAAAATCTTGAGAAAGTTCATGGAGGAAAACCTCAAAATAAGCAAAGAAGA